CATCTGCACTAAATGTTTTGCATAAGCAAATTTATGGAGATAGAAAGACTAGTGGTTGCTGGCACTAGGGAAATAGAAGGGAAAGGAAGTTATCTGTTTTGAATGCTATAACAACAACAAAAAAACAAAAACAAAAAACACAGAATACATTGGACATCCCTGTGAGATCAAGGCCAGCCTGGTCTACATAGTGAGTTCCAGGTGGGCTGTGACTAGGGAGACCTTGTCAAACAAACAAACCATAGGATGAGAAGCTTATAAACAACAGAAATTTATTTTTCTCAGTTCTAGAGGCTAGGAAGTCCAAGACAAGGAACCAGCATGGCTGGGTGCTGGTTGATAGGCACCCACTGTATTCTGATATGGCAAAAGAGGCAAAAGTTTCTTAGGAGCCTTCTTATAAGGACACTAATGCCATCCATGAGGGTGATGGCCTTATGACCTAGTCACCTCCCAAAGATTCCACTCCCTAGTACCATCAGAGTGGGGGGGTGTTAGGATTTCAACATGTGACCTTTGGGGCACACTAGCATTCATACTACGGGGGGGGGGTCAAAGAGCTTCATTTGGGAATATGAAGATGTTCATTTACTGTGGTGATGGCTGTACAACTGTGAATGCACTAAACTCACTAAATTGTACACTTTAGATAGATGAATTTTATGGTAAGGAATTACATCTTGATATGTTACAAAATAAAGCCTTCTGGCAGACAAGTACTCAAAGTAAAACTGACACGATATGGATAAATATAGAGAGACAGTAGAAACATAACTTAGAAGAGAAGAAATCTGGATGATTTACATAACCAGTTTTGTCTGAGTTTAAAGCAACAGTAATTAAGACAATGTGGTTTTTGTAAAGGCAGAAACACACAGAACAAAGGAACTGGAGAGAGAAGTCAGAAGTAGGTCCAACTCAACATGGTCACTGATCACTTACAAAAGGCAAAGGGAACTCAGGGAGAGGAGATATTTGTTCTCATAAATTACAGCAGAACCACTGGACATGCACAGCCCCCCACAATGAACTTGGACCTTTAGTTCACAACTTGATCAAAAATTTACAAAATCAGACCAGAGATGACATAGATGTAGACGTGAAACATTATCAGAGAGAAATTTTCTACTTTCAACTAGGGATTGAGTTCATAGACATGAACAAAAATATAACCCATTAAGAGAAAATTATCACCTGGACTGCATTAAAATTTAAGATAGGGGCTGGAGAGATGGCTTAGCTCCACATGGCAGCTAACAACTGTTTTTAACTCCAGTTCCAGGTGACCTAATGCCTTCTTCTGACCTTTGCAGGCACTGCACGACACAGGTGCACTTACTTACAAGCAGGCAATATACACATACACATAAAATAAAATATTAAAAATGTAATTATAGAAGGAAGAAATAAGGGAGGAAGATGGGAAGGAAGAAAAATGATTTTTTTGAAAAAGAAAGGAAGGAAGAAGGAAGGAAGGAAGGAAGGAAGAAGGAAGGAAGGAGGAAGGAAGGAAAGAGGAAGGGAGGAAGGAAGGAAGGAGGAAGGAAGGAGGAAGGAAGAGGGAAGGAAGGAGGGGAGGAAGGAAGGAAGGAGGGGAAGAAGGAAGGAAGGGAGGAGGGGAGGAGGAGAAAGAGAAAGAAAATGAAGAGGGAGAGGAAGAGGAAGGGGAGAGGAGCAGGCGGGAAAGATGCAGCATACAACTGCCGTTGTGGCTTATATACAGGTATTAAAGTTTTTAAGCTCACTGACAATGAATAAATTTATTGTAACCGTTACTAAAGTTGATTTAATGAAAATCAAAAGCGCTCATTTTAAAAACCTAGTAAAACTGACAGACCTCTGGGAATGGAATCAAGAGAGGATTTAAAGAAGCTCAGAAAAGAAGGGACACAACTACAAACCAAAGACAGAAAAGGAAAAGAAAACACTGAATTCAAATGACGAAAAGAGAAATACTCCAAGTTTAGCAGGGAAATGCAAAGTCTTCCAGAGATGGGGAAAACCATGATGACACTGGGTAAATCCCAGGAATGCTTGATTCTTTAGCATTAAAAAAAAAAATCAATGTAGTTTATCACCTTAATAAAACTGTGTGCTTATTACAGAAGGCATACATTTACTACTGTTCAAGAAAACGTTTTTCTAAAGATATATTTAAAAAATTTTTATTTGTGGGTTGAGATGGCTCAGCACTTAAGAACAGTGGTTGTTCTTGCAGAAGACCCGGGTTCGAATCCCAGCACCCATATGGCAGCTCACAACTGTCTGTAACTCCAGTCCCAGGGGATCCGACAGCCTCTTCTGACCTCCACGGGCATTGCACAATACGGGTGCACTTACCTACATGTAGGCAATACACACATATTTGTGTGTATGTGTGTGCCTACATGAATTTATGGTGCACATAGAAGCCACAGTGTCTGAACTGGAGTTACAGGCAGCTGTGAGTCACCCAATGTGGGGGTTGGGAACTGAACCTGAGTCCTCTGCAAGAGCAAGCAGTGAGTGCTCTTAACCATTGAGCCATCTCTGAGCCCTAAGAAAATTATTTTAAAAAATACAAAGACTCTCTCCATTGTATTCAGTCATTTTCGCTGAGCTACACCAAACAAAACATACAAGATGGACAGGTCATATAAATGACTTTATCAATAGTATCAAACAATTATATAGCAGCTGATAGCTTACAAATCACTTCTGCATCCATTTTCTATCCAATTCTAACCAGTCTCAAGAAGATTTGACATTTTGAAAAAATATATAAGGAAGCGTTTAAAAATGAAATGACATATCCCAAATATCAATTATTATCAGTTTTATTTGTTGGTTCTCTTTGATACCATGCTATGTATCAAATTCAAATGAACCAATAAGTCATATATAACATATACTTGGAAATCCTATTTTCTAGTGGTTTCATACACTTTTGGAGTAAGGACACAAATACAGGTTAACACTACAATTTATATTCATAGTTACATCTATCTTTCCTTTTCAAGTCTGCAATGTACAATTAAACAGTTTTTGCTCTCAATTTAAAAGGTATAGTCTCTCAAAGCCACACGAAGCGGTGTCCTCCCATCACAAAGGGGCTTATCCTTGCAGAACCAGTGAACATTTCATTTTGAATTGGTTACTCTGTATGTAACAAACCTTTGGCCTGTACTCCACACAACTCGATGTGCCATTTCAATGTCAAGTGCAAGGATATCAAGGGAAAGATGGAGTAGTTGTTTTCTCTAACAGTTCAAGTACAGCTGAAAATCCTGGATAGTATAATTAAGACAAAGAGAAGGTTCTAAAAGGTAAAGAGAATGAATTGGCTAAGGACCTAAGAATCTGAGGAACCAGAGCAGAGTTTTTTGGAACTTCTTTTTATCTTGTAACCCAAACTGCTTTCTGGAGAAGCTGGCAACCACAAAAATGCCAACAAAGAGGGTTCAGACAAGTTTATTCTTTCTAGCAAAAGGGTCAAGAAGGGCATGGACCAGCAGCACTGGAAACTTCTAAGACAATATTGCCCTGTTCCAGAAAAAGAAAATCTTGCCCCACTAGCTGGAGCTATGTGGGATGCCTGCACTCCCCCCTGCACCAGCTGTAACAGGCTCTGAAACCCTTCAACCAACCCTGCGCAGATGGGACTGACTTTGAAATTCCACTCCAGCCTCCTCCTTACCAGTGCCAGTGGAGGCCATGTGACATATCTCTTCCCAGATTTACTCGTTATCAGGAGAGGCCTGCAGTCAGGACTTGCCCCACAGTAGTGAGGTCACCTTCCCCTACTTGGCAGTATTGGTAGAGGCCATGTAGAATCAGTCATAACACATTCATGGCCCTCCCAGCCAGGGCAGTACAAGCAGAGACCTAGTAGGGAGCTGTAAATCCTACCCCACTCAGCAGAGTCAATAGAGGCCCATGATGAAAATTGGCTTTGAACACCAGTTCAAAGTGGTGAAACAGTATCCCCCACCCTTTCTCCACCAGAATGGTGTTAAAGGAGGTCTACCAAAACAGAAGATTCAAATAGAATACTGAGTCTTATAATCTTCAAAATACTCAGATTTTTAGCATACAATCACTCACCACACCAAGGCCAAGCAAACAGCTTGAATGAAAAGATAATTCACAGATGTCTAACAACACACTGAGATGGGACAGATGTTAGAACTGCCCGACAAGGATTTTAGGGCATGTGCACATACACACAGTGTCTCAGGAAAGAAAATGCAATGGAACTGAAAAAAGACAGTAACTGAAGTAAGTTCAAGGATGGGCTCAGGAGCACAGTGGAAGGAACCGAAGGAAGAACCCTCGTGAACTTGAACAAAAGAAAATATCCAATGTGATCCATACATAACATTGCTAAGGACTGAACTGTGTTCATGTGTCTCTCCACCTCAGCCCCATCCATAATGTTGAAGCTCTATCTAATGTTACAGTATTTGGAGATATGCTTTTAGGAGGTAATTAAGGTTAAGATATCATAAAAAGTAGGGTCCTAATCCAATAGGACTGGTGGCCTACAAGAGGTGGGATTCTCTCCACACACACAGAGGTAAGGCAATGTGAAGACCATCTTCAAATGAGAGCCTTCACCAGAACTGTTCTGCTGGACCTTGACTTTGGAATTCCAGCCTCCAGAACTGTACATTTCTGCTGTTTGAGCCACCCAATCTATGATGCTTTGATATGGCATCCTGAGCCTAAGATCCTGGCACCAAAAAATGGGATGCTGCTGTGGGAAATGCTAAAATGTTGAAGCACCTTTGAAAGTGGATACTGGGTAGAAGCCAGGAGAGTTCTGAGGTACATATGGACTATAAAGGCCACTCTGGTGAGGTCTTAGATGATAAGGACCATGCTATTGAAACAAGAGGAGAGAGGATGTTTATTTTAAATATTTTATTATTTTATTTTTATGTGTATTAGTGTATTGTCTGCATGTGTCTAAGTGCACCCATGTCATGCAATGCCTGCAGAGGTCAGAAGAGGGTGTTGGATCCCCTGGAATTGGAGTTACAGATGGTTGTTAGCTGCCATGTGGGTGCTGGAAATCGAACCCAGGTCCTCTGTAAGAGCAGCCAGTGCTCTTAACTGGTGAGCCATCTCTCTAGCCCTGTGAGATCATCTTTATTATAGTGTCAAACTAGTCTGAAGACAGTGCTAGTGTTTTGTGGAAGGTGGAACTTGAGAATGACAAAATTGAGTATTTAGCAGCAATTGCTAAGTAAAGTACTAAAGGTACTTACAGTAAGATGTGAGATGGGACAGATGAATTAAAGTACAGGAATGTTAATCAAGGAACTAGAATCTAAAGATATGAAAAAATTCTATTCAAATGGCAAAACTGAGAAAGTTTGTTAGGAAGAAAGCACTACAGTTGGTCTGAACAACCATTTGATAAAATGATGGATATAGTTCATGGGCCAGTAAGATGATGGGTACAGCTCATGGGCTAATTCAGCTAGTTCATTTTGGTTTTAACAGGCAAGATGGCCTTCAACTGAAACCTGAGAATTCAGACTGCCCTGTAGAGCCTTGGGAATGAGGTCAGCTGGCAGAGCCACAGAGGACTATCACCCTAACAGGTCCACAAAACTGGGAATTTTCTGGGTTTTGGACTTAGTTGGGACCCGTCACCCATTCCTTCACCTGCATTTCTCTCCTGCAGTGTGGGAATGCCTACTTTATGCATGTCCCACAATAGTATTGTGGAAGTATACAACAGGTTCACAGCTGGACAGAATTTTGCCTCAGGATTGATAACTGAACTTTATATCTCCTATCTGATTCACGTGATAATTAGGCAAAACTCTGAACTTTATAGACTTTACAGTTGATGTTGAAATTAGGACTAGGGGGATGTTGGGGTAGAATTAACAAGTGTGTTTTTCATACATGGACATTAATATGGTGGGAAGGAGCAGGGATATCATGATAGGAATTGAATTGTATCTCCTTAAAAATTTTGCACTGACGTATGAACCCATAGCACTTGTGAAAGCATGCACATCTGTGCAAGTTCAAGACACAGACCCAGCATGGATGGGGGAGGTAGGCAAGAAGCCAGCCCTTGTTGAAGATTGGCAATGGATGCTGCTGGGAGAGGGAAAGCGTGTTTTTTTTAGGGGCATGATACCTGGTAGGTTGACTAGATTCCAAGGGATTGGACCCATACCCAAGAGCATTTGGGGGGGAGGCACAGATTAGACTTGATTAGTCTTTAAAAAAATAATGGGGGGCAGTTAGTAGAGTAGGGGTAGAGATGTGGGATGGGGCTTGAATATGATCAAAACACACTGTATGAAATCCTTGAAGAATCAATGAAAATATTTTTAAAAATTGTACACTGAAAGTCTAGGTCCTAATGTAACTGTATTTGGAGACAGGACTTTTACGAGGTAATTAAAGTTAAGTGAGGTTATAAGGGTAGGGTCCTAATGCAATAGGTCTAATGGCCTAAGAAGTGAGGTAACTCTCTCACCCTGTACACACACTAAGGAAAGGCCATGTGAAGACGCATTAAGAAGGCAGCCATAAGAACCAGACATGGTGATACACGCCTATAATCCAGGACTTGGGAAGTTGGGCAGGCAAATGAGGAACTCAAGGAACTCAGCTATATATTGTGATTGAGGCCAGCACAGATGACATGCTACCTGAGACCCTGTCTTAGGAAACTAAAGGGGGGGGCAGCCATCAGGAAGAGATGTCTAACTAGAAACAGAGCCAAGGGGTAACTGAATCTCAGACTCTTCAGCCTTCAGAATTGTGACAATCATCTTTCTTAAACCAATCTATGAGATTTTGTTACAGCAGATCAAGAAGACTAAGATTAAAAAATGAACTTAAAAAAAAAGAAGTGTCAGAAACTTGTGAGACTACAGTAAAAGATCAACAGCTCTGCCATCCAAATCCAGAAAGGGAGAATGGGTAGAGGAGCGAGCTGAAAATGTACTTTGAACAAATGCGATCAAGCTACAGTTTGAAGCAGCTCAACAAACTACAAAATAGAAATCTACTCACAGACATCCATACCAAGACAGGACATAGTGACACTGGGAGATCAAAGACACTGCATTCAAAATAATCTTTCAAATAATAACCCTCAAAGTTTCATTTAAAAAAATATATACAATGATGTCACTTGCCTCCAACCCGAGTAAAATAGAGACAAGCAAGTATTCTGGTCTTTTCAAGTTTTTTTACAATCTAGTAATTCAATGCTAGTGCAAGTCTACAATTTTCTATGTCTGAAAAAAGAACCTACATACAAAGTACACATAACTGAGGTAAATCTTTATAAATAAACATTCTCAGGTAACTGAGCTTAAAACACGCTGAATGTACCAAAGGGCTCTTCTGTAAACTAAGCTGGAGGTCTTCACCCATGGAATCAAAACAACTGCCAGTATGCACCTCAGTAAGCAAGACTAAAAGACAGAAAGTGCAGACAGATCTCCACACCAACGTTCTTCAGCTTTAGGGTAGAGTTGCCCTCACTTGAACTTTTCAACAGGTCAATTATTAAGTCTAGTATTTTTTTCTGGTTGTGAACACTCAGTAGTTATTTCTACCAACACTTCTTGGGTTCATTGCCCAATTCTTTTCCTCTATCCTTTCTTCTACCTCCTTTGTGTCCTCGCACTTAAGGCAGAAGGACAACTGTTCTACCATTCCTGACCCTGGGCAAATTCATTGTGAATTTGCAATCTCTTCTTTTCACTCCTAAATTTTACCTAAAATGAACACTTGCTTCTTTAGGACTTCATCTCCTTAGCATGATGAGACTACCTCTCCCAAGACATCTTCTATTAAGCCTTGCCTTACTTCTCTCAAGGATTTGACAGTTAACACACACATTAGGGTGTTAGAGACAAATTTCCTCTTTCAGTATCTTCCATTCAGTAATTTTTTTTTTTTGAGAAAGGGTCTCACTATGTAGTCCTGGCTGGCCTTGAACTCACAGACACCCATCTGTCTCTGCATCCCAAGTGACAAGCTTAAAGGCATGTATCACCATGCCCAGCCAGGAATTTTTAAAAATGTAACCCCCTCTTTCACAGTCTAAATGAGTTATGTCTCACATCAGATATTTTGCTAACTTTAAGTCTTGAATTTCTTTATAGCACTCACAGTATGTGGTAAATGCTCAAAAAATATGCTCTGAATGTAATACACTTATCCAGTATGGATTCTCTTTTGTTTATCAAAATCTGAATGCTCACTAAAGGCTTGTCCATATTCCTTAATTTTCCCTTCTGCATGAGTTTTCTGGTGTTGAGAAACAGAGGAACTCTGGCTAAAGGCTTTTCCACATTCTTTACACTTAAACGGCTTTTCTCCAGTATGAGTTTTCTGATGTTTTGTAAGAGATGAGCTCTGGCTGAAAGCTTTTTCACAGTCCTTACACTTGTAAGGCTTCTCTCCAGTGTGTGTTCTCTGATGACGAATAAGGGCTGAGCGGTCACTGAAGGCTTTGGCACAATCACGGCATTTATAGGGCTTCTCTCCAGTGTGAGTTCTCTGATGCTGAGTCAAGGCTGAACAGTAACCAAAGGCTTTCCCACATTCATTACACTCATAAGGCCTTTCTCCAGTATGAGTTCTCTGGTGCTGAATAAGGCCTGAACGATCACTAAAGGCTTTGCCACATTCATTACACTTGTAAGGTTTCTCTCCGGTGTGAATGACCTGATGCTGGGTAAGAAATGTGCTTTGGCTGAAGGCCTTTCCACATTCATTACACTCATAAGGTTTCTCTCCAGTATGAATTCGTTGATGTTGGGTGAGGTATGAACTCTGATTAAAGGCCTTTCCACATTCATTGCATTCATAGGGTTTCTCTCCAGTATGAATTATGTGATGCCTAATAAGGGCTGAGCGGTGACTGAAAGCCTTCCCACATTCATGACATTCATAGGGCTTCTCTCCAGTATGAATTCTCTGATGTAAAGTAAGGTGTATGCTCTGGCTAAAGGCTTTACCACATTCATTACATTCATAGGGCTTTTCTCCTGTGTGAATTCTCTGATGCAAGACAAAAGCTGAGTAGTAGCTAAAGGCTTTCTCACACTCATTACACTTCCAAGGCTTCTTTCTTGTACAAATTCTCTCATGCTTAATTATATCTGACTTTTGTTTTAAGTTCTTCTTAAGTAAATCATAATTGTGAAGTCTCTCCTCTTGGTGTTGAACAAGTAATGACCTCTGACTAAAATTTTTTCTAAACCCATCACATTGATAACCATTCTCCATAGAAAGCTTCATCTGAGGAACAAACTCTTTTATTAAATGTTTCTCATGGTTTTCCTGTTGACTTCTTAAAGAGTCTTCACATTCACTAGACCTTTCCTCTGGAACTCTTTCCATTAACTCCCCAGGGGCTGATGTCCCTTTAGAAAAATCCTTCTCTGTAGTCAGCTCCTTGCTATCTTGTATTGTCTCCCACTCTGAAAGGAAAACAAAAAACATGCTGAGAGACAAGTAACCACTACAGTAGAGAAATAATAAAACAAATGCTAATAAAACAAAAATGTTTCCAGGAGACCATGAACTTCAAAGTTCTCAAAAACAGTCTTGCAATGTTGAGAGGATATGAGAAAAATGGGTACCTAAATAAATTGCCTAAAGGCTTTTCGCAACAGATGGAGACTATCACAGAGTTCCAGAACTGGTCAAACACAGAGAATAAGTGTCTCTGAGATATTTGACCCTAACTAAGTAACACATCTTCAATGCAACCTCTACACATAGGATAAATGCATGTCTCAACTCTCACCAGAGAAATTTCTTTATGCAGCATATGGTGATTAACATAGAAATCCACAATTGGCCAATGTGCAGAGAACAAGAGGCCACAGAGTGCTTATTTCTGAATAAGATACCTATTTCAAACCTCTGCCACCCAAAGCTCAGGGATCATTGCAGAAGAGAGGGTGGAAAGATTGTAAGAGTCAGAAGGGGTAGATGACCACAAGGAAACATAGTCTTCCAGACAGCTGGTCAGTTACTCATATAAACTCACAGCAACACTGACAGCATGCACAAGTCTTATGCAAGCTCAAACCAGACAAAAATCCGAGCATATGGCTGGGGAAATGGCTCAGCAGTTAAGAGCACTGACTGCTCTTGCAGAGGACCTGGGTTCGAGTCCCAGCACCCATATGGTGGCTATGAACCATCCTTAACTCCAGTTCCAGGGGAATCCAACGCCCTCTTCTGACCTCCATGGCATTGCATGACACAGGTGCACTCACATACATGCAGGCAATACACTCATACACATAAAAATAAAAATAATAAATGAAATATTTTTTTAAAAATCTGAGCATAGACATGGGGAAGTGAATAAGATATCCCCACCAACTTGAGGAACTTTTGGCAATTGATCACTGCTGGGAGGGGCAAAGATAGTGTCTTAAAGGGATAAGACTCTTGGTGGGCCCAGTGGATAGGCCCACATTGAAGGACATTTTGGGATATATATCATACTCTATAGGCCATGCTATATATGTTAGAGAGTACATTAAACTGGACAGAGGGCAGTAAAGGGAGGTCCTGATGGGGGAGGGGATCTAAATACCATCAAACTATATTGTACGAAAATTGCGAAAATTCAAAAAATTCAATTAAAAAATTAAAAAAAAAGAAGTTGCATAAAGGGAGCAAGTGAGCAGGTACATTCAGTCAGATTAACTTCCAACCTGGCAGGGTACCTATCCCAAGATCCTGAACCTACTAATTAGAGTCCTGGGGGTGGGGGACAGTTTTATTGCTGAAAATAGTTAAATCCTTCCAGGGTTAGAAAGTGTTACCATTTAGATATGGATATAGTTTGAATGTGGCTCCAAGGGTTCATGTATTAGAAGCTTGATACATATTGTAGCAGTGTTGAGGTCATAGAAACTTTTAAGAGATGGGGACTAACAGAAGGTAATTAGGTCAGGGGGTACCACTATTGGAAGGGATTAGTACTGGTTTCAGTGAGTGAACTGACTCTTGCAAGAATTAGCTATTATAAAGTGAGACCAGCCCAAATACTTGGTCCCTTCCGCATATGAACATTCCCCTTCCTGATCTCCGATATGCTGTGATGCAGTCAAGGAGGCCCTTACTAGGACCAATCAGATGTAGCATAAAGCTCTTGATTCTCCAGAACTGTGAGCTAAATAGAATTTCTTATAAAGTACCTAGCCTCAAATACTAACAAATTAATACAGTAACATTCAGCCATGTCTCTAAATGTTAAATTATAACCCTACTCAGGGAAATGCCTGGAATTTAAAGGACAAACAGGTAGAAAAGATCAAAGGTAAATGGACATCCAGTTTAGAAAAGTGGAAGAATTATAACTGAATATTTGCTGAGAATTCTTGGTTAGTAGAGGATACTAGGATTTGCCTGTTTAGTGAAGCAGGCTAAGAAAGGCCTTGGAAGAAGGCAGGGAAATACAGCCCTGACAGAGTGAGTAACTCACTGAGGAATCTAGCAATACACACACAAAAATATCTATTATAAAAGGGTAAGACCAAAGAAATGTAATTTGCTGATAGTCTATTGTAATAATTCAGTTTGATTGAAGAGTCAAATCCATGATATCTTTTTTAAAAAAGTTACCATATTTAATCAATAACATTCATTGTTATTTATTTTCCATTTGATCCTCACCACAATGCAACACTGAGTTAACCACTATCATTATCCTCATTTTACAGCTGGAAAATCTGAGCCACAAAGAAGGTAACACACTTGTTAAAGATTACAGAATTACTGAGTAGCTAAGATCAGCTTTGAACCAGAGAACACTTGTTCCAGTCCATACTCTGAACCACCATACCATGTTACTTCTGCCTAGACAGGGAAAACCTAGAGATCAATTTACAGTAGGTGGACTAAGACTAACAACAACAACAAAAATAGCATTATGCTGTACAGATAAAATAGTATGTGAAACAGACTGGTTTTAGAGCCTTAGACCCAAGCAAGTGATTAAACACATTAAAATATTCATTGCGTATCACTTTCAGAGAAAAAAATCGGTTTGAAAGGGTAGAAAGTATTAACTCACTCCAATCAGATTCTGGCTTTATGGTAGACCATCTCCACAGTGCTGGAGCACAGCACAGGAGAGACCAGGTCTCCAGGTGGGCATTTCCATGGGTCTAGAGAAATCTGGACAGGTTCATTCACAGGTACTTCCACTGTCTCCAACAGCTACTCATCTGGACTGGCTGCTTTTGAGATGTCTCTCTCTAGATCTTCTCCATGCTCCAACTGAGAGATCCCATCAGGCTTGGAAATTGGAAGTCCTGTTCATGAGGAAAGAAAAGGAGCCTGGTAAAGAGCTCAGTTCTGGCTCTCTAGTTTTAACCATTAAATTACTTGTTTTTACTACTCAGGGTGCTACAGGTCATTATAATAAAGATGCCCAATCCTAATTCCAGAAGTGGTCAAACTATATCCAGAATCAAAAAGCAGAAACTGTCTGTGTCACATCTTATAGAAATTAAGAATCTTTGAAGTTAAGGCTCTCAGTGTTCCTGGGAATTAAGGAACTGAGATACCATGTCAGGTAAATTCAGGGAGAGGCAGCATCTTTTCCCAGCAAAACCAGATTTCTGTGCATCTCAGACACATCTCCCTAGGGAGGGTTCTGCTGGTTCCACTGGGTGAAAGCCTCAGTCATCTCCCTGATCAATGATTCCTGAAAAAATAAACACATCAGTGCTCATCAATGGTCCCCTGCCAGAGACCCCAGAAAGGACCAAACTGACAGCAAAGGAGGATGACAGGAAGGGCAGGAAGGGCGGCAAAGTGACTCTGACATCCCTTTTGACACTAAGATCCTCTGGCATATTTGTGCTCCACAGATTCATTCTGCCTCTTTGCATAAGAATTCATGTTACCCCAGACAGGCAGCAAAGCACCTTCAAATGAAAAACATGAAGGTGCCAAGTTTTCAGTTTACGTATCAACAAATTAAATTACAGAATCTCCAAGCTGCTTGCTATCATGCATGGGAAAGGGGAGAAAGTCTCAAACTTTCCTTATACTATAATTTTAAAACATAAGGAGGTGATGAAATAGAAAATACTTTTCTCTTTAGTTTTCCTTTCAGAATAAAGTTGGTCCTACACATGTTAAACATTAACATGCTTGCTACATGTGCACAGAATATGGTCTTACTCTAGCCCACATTATTGTGTCATTTCATACAGAGTGCCCGGCCCACCATCCATTTTACCTCTTCTTGCACTAATCCTTCAACATTCTCTGGTAAGTAGCTGCCAGTCAGTGGTTAGACATGTGTGCCACAGTCCCTTTGCCACCTTACACATGCTGCTTCCTGTTCTGGAGTGTTCTCTCCCCTCTCTCCCCGCTCCATCCTTTCAGCTATTTGAGTGCTAGCCACACTTCAGACCCCCACTCAGGCTTTCCTCCTCAGAGAGCCTTCCTCGACTCTTAGGTTGCAGCACCATTCTCCTTCCCTTCCCTCAAGCCACACACTGGAGGGCCTGTAAGGTTACTGTCTGTCTGTCTCATTAGACCCTAAGCTCCATGACAGGGCAGAGTCTAAGTCTCTTTTGCTAACCAAAGCAGCCCTAGCACACAGAACCATGCAGAAATTGGTTATAGTTATTGAGTAATTGGAAAAAAGGAGTAAGAATAGAAATAAATCTAAGCAGGGCACTCTATAATAAAGTATGCATGGGACAAGCCAGGCATGGTGGTGCACACTATTAGTCCCTGCACTGAGGAGGCAGAGGCAGGCAGATCTCTGTGAGATCAAGACCAGCTCGGTCTTCATAGCAAGTTCCAGGCTAGCTGGGGCTACAGGGAGACCCTGTCTCAAAAAAAAAAAAACAAAACCAAAAAACAAACAAACAAACAAAAAAAAAACAAGAAAAGTACACATGGGAATCAAGGTGGGGAGGGGGAACAGAAGTATAAGAAACACTAACAAAATTGCAAGATCTCACAGAGATCTGCCTGCCTCTGCCTCCAGTGCTGGGATTAAAGGTGTGCAATACCACACCCAGTGTTGCCACAAGCTATTGAACACACATGGCTGTGTCATTAACTGATGGGGACAGAGTGTGAGAAATGCATCATTAGACAATTTTAACCTTGAGTGAACATCTCATTAAGATGGCTATGACATCACTAGGCAGTATAAACTCATAGAACAACCCTTGTGTATGTGGTCCATTGTTGAGTACAATGACAACACATGTATGGCCCATGACTTTACTTGAGTAATGGTTAACTTAAATGATGGTTATTTTTGCTTATATCCATCATTCTAATGTATATAATACAACCATTAGATATATGTATATCACACACACACACACACACACACACACACACATATATTCCTCCATACCAATTGGTAAAACTACACAAAATGAATAAATGTAAAAGATCTACTTGGAAAATTCCCTGTCAAAAAGCCTTTTTTAAAAAAACTATGTTAAAAAAACTAACATAGTTAGTACTATGAAATCAGTCTTCTTATTTAAGTTTATGCTCCCTTAAGGGCACATGCCTCAAGATCAATTAACACAAACAAGATAATTTGTACAGTCTTCTTTCTTTACCAACAATATTAAGATCAGATAGGAGCTAGAGAGATGGCTTAGTCGTTAAGTGCGAGCACTGCTCTTGCTGAGGACTTGGGTTCAGTTCACAGCACCCATGTGGGGTGGCTCACAACTGCCTGTAACTCAAATTCCAGAGTATCCAATGCCTCTGGCTTCTGTGGGCACGCCTCTGTGAGCACTGACACATGCCCCCACACAGACATACTTACATACACAAAACTTAAAAAATACATTAAAAATAAGCTTAAAAAGAGAACAGATTAATTGGCAGTTCTTTTCAGATTTTAATTCCCCAGGAAAATCAAAATAATCAAACTGTGTCTGGAGGTCAAGTAGATCTATGAGACACCATCCTATAGAGACCATTGATTTTTTTTTTCTCCTCACCTTATCCCTCTGAAAGAGACCTACAAACTCACAGTTCAAAACCAACATACAGGGGCTAAAGAGATAGCTCAGTGAGTAAGAGTGCTTGCTCTACAAGTATGAGGCCCCAGGTTTAAATCCCCAGTACCCATGTAAAAAGCTGGGCATAACTATGCATTCCTGTAACCCTAGCACTGATGGATGGAGACAGGCAGATCCCAGCCTGGCTGAAACAGTGCACTTCCAGTTCAGTGAGACCCTGTCTTAGGCAATAAGGTGACAAGCAATAGAGGAAGACACCTGACATCCTGCACTGGCCTCTACACGTAAGGTGCATGCACCACACACACATCATGCATACACATATGCATACCACATGCACACAAATAAATAAATACCTACATATATACACATTTAAATACAGAGAAAGAAAGAGAGATGGGGCAGGGAAAGTTGATAAAGTGCTTGCCACACAAGCATGAGCACCTGAGTTTGTATCCCCAGCACCCCTACCCCCCAAAACCAGGTGTAGCAGTGTAATTCCAGACAAGAGGATCCCTGGACCTTGCTGGCTAGCCAGTCCAGTCAATCAACAAGTTCAAGGTACAATGAGAGACCCTGTCTCAGTGGTCAAAAGTGCTTATTACCAAGCCTAATGACCTGAGCTCAATCTCTGGGTCCCACATGGTAGAAGGAGACAACCAGCTACCACAAGTTTTCCTCTGACCTTTACATCTGTGCTGTGGCACACCTGCCACACACATAAATAAGTGTAATAAATTTAAATAAATAAGTAGATAAGTAAATAAATTTAAATAAATAAAGTAGAAAGTAATGGACAGAGGAAGACACCCAACAACAACCTCTGGCCTCTACACACATGTACATGTGTACATGCACCTGTACCACCACAAGTTTTCCTCTGACCTTTACATCTGTGCTGTGGCACACCTGCCACACACATAAATAAGTGTAATAAATTTAAATAAATAAGTAGATAAGTAAATAAATTTAAATAAATAAAGTAGAAAGTAATGGACAGAGGAAGACACCCAACAACAACCTCTGGCCTCTACACACATGTACATGTGTACATGCACCTGTACCCAAGGACTTTCCATTCTAGGAGAGAGAGAGAGAGAGAGAGAGAGAGAGAGAGAGAGAGAGAGAGAGAGAGAGAAAATCAATATAGATGGAGCATCCCTAATAAAAAAACCCCAAATGTTCCAAACATTGGAAACTTTTCTGAGCTCTGATGTAAAATCCCACATCAGGAAACTCTGTTTCATGCACAAAATTACTTAAAATATTGTACAAAATTATCTGTAGGCAATGTGCATATGAAACAAAAATGAACCTCGTGTAAATTTGGTTCCTATCTCCAAGATATCTTATTATGTACATGCAAATATTCCAAATTCTAAAAAAATTCAAACTCAGAAAAACATCTGGTTCCAAGAACATCGGATAAGGAATACTCAACCTGACCTGGAGTTTCAGCTCACCTGTACTCCTGGTCTGATGTTTCCCAGAGGCTAGGTGTGACTTGGACAGGCAGTGCCAGCACCTGTATAAAAAGGTTTGCCAGTCTTCCCGATCCTACAGAGGCATCTTTACTATCTCTCTCCAATCAGTCATGGCATGTTTCACCTTATGAATCTCTAAAAACCTTCATAAGGCAGGCCTATGTAGCTTTGGAGTAAGACCCAACGTAGATTTTCTTGAGGTCTATACCCAAGTCCCTCATTAGACTTTAACTCATTCCACAGTGACTCACACCTCTTGAACTCTCTAATCACTTGTAGATACCCACCCCTCAAACATACAAACCTGTTCTCTCTTAGCGTATTTCCTGCATTCTACTTTCCAACCACCTACTCTCCCTGGTTTTCAAAATGCTGCTTTTATCATAAAACTTTTTCAAACACTCTAATTGATGAAAAAATCTTCCAGGGTCATTTATAACTTGCCTGTTGGAATCATTTCTGAATTTAAAAAAAATTGCTCATGTTGTGTCTGTATCCTACTGTTTCAGCAAACTCCATGAGACAGGGCAGGTGGCTGCTTTTAGCATATCACAAGGCAGATTACAGCAGTGAATGGCTAGTGAGTGTGCAGCAGGGCAGGGAAGGAAAGTTCTATCCACATGAGGGGTGTTTCCTATATGGTTAATTAACGACTCATCAGTCTATCAGGATGACCTTTGCAGAGCAAATTCTAATAATGGAAGAAAACATATCCATGCTGAAAAGGGGTCACAAACTTACCTGAGACCCAGGGGTCAGTAACACATTGGTTATGCTATTTTGTTTTGACTTTCCAACACCAGGAGGGTCTGAGTTCTCAGAAAGTGATCCTAGAAGCAGAGTCCAGCAGCTGTGACAATTAGTCCAATTTTGCAGCAAATTTGTAGAAACTGCCTGTCACCTGCTACTTTGCTTAAAAGTCAACACAGGGAGTAGAGGGGCAATCCCATAACACCCTGATACAAGACAGCTGAGACCAATTGCTATCTCAGGTTCCTCTGGTCCTTAAACTCCAGTAGAACTCTACGAAAATCTGAACACAATATAAATACACATTTCTCTTTCATTTCCTAAGTAGTCAAAATAATAAAGTCTCTGTGTATTGATCCGTGCCTCCATGACGATTCATTTCTGATGTACTCCAGGCCCAAAGGATGAATGAAAACTACACGATTTACATTGTTTTTGACCACTTTTTCAGATACAATCCTTGCTGTCTCGGAAAAGCGAAGGGACTCGTGAAAAAACATCTAAAATAAATGATTGATAGATAGATGATAGATAGATAGATAGATAGACCCCAAACCTAAAACAACCAATGAACAAAAACCAAGATTCTAAACAAATCAATGACTTCTAAAATTCCCGCTTTCCTTATCTGCGAAATGAATGACTGTCCCTTCCTACTGCCTTACTGAGTTCCTGCGAGGACAAAAGGAAATCAACACCCCAAAACTATCCCAGCTGTAGATTTTAGGGGCTGTCTGTCACTCTGCAGACCACCAGGGCAACCGAGCGGCTGGCTTGTCCTCAAACCCCAGCGCCGGGCCGAGTAGCAGGCAGCCCTCGGTGGGGAAGAAAGAGACGCTGCTCCTTCCCGCGGCTGTCTTCCCCTTCACCATCTCTCTCCGCGTCCCGGAATCTCACCACCGTCCCCGGGCTCCACGGAGACCGTCTCAGCACTGCCCCAGCGCCGACCGCCAGGGAAGAGCAGGGAGTCCGCTGCTCTGGTCCACTCCAGGCCGGGCACGGAGCCCTCCGCCTCCACGCTGCCCTCCAGCCCCACACAGCCCTGACCCCAGCCAGCAAAACAAGGGTATAGCAGAGCCTGTGGGCCGCTCCGCACCGGCGGAACTACAACTCCCAGAATGCCCTACAGAGTGCATCTCCCAGACGGCTGCCTCCCAGAGGACCACGCAGCTTCCACGATTGTGGCTTTCAAAGTGGGATCCATCCCTCCATGCGGGAGCAGTGTTCTCGGAGCATCGAATCTGCCTGGCCTGTGCCGTTAGCTCACGCTGACTGTAGCCCTGAGGGTCGCACCCCTCACCCACACGGGCTTCCGCTTTTTCCCACAATGGGAAAGTGTTCGAGTGCTTTCACACACACGTACATGCCCACACACGTTGTTTCCCAGTACCATTGTTAAAAAAGTACATTTATGTATTTAGTCTTGGGGGGGGGTGTGCGCGTGCGCACGCGCGCGCCCGCCAGGGAGTGCCTGTGGCAGTCAGAGTACAACTTGTGACGTGATAGAATGTGTGAATTGCAGAAGAGCCACAAGCCTCATTAGGGAAAGCCATAAATCCCTTAAAGTGTCTAACTGGCCCTAAATTGGCAGCCTGGCCTTGCTCATATCAGTTGGTCACTCCCAAGCCTTAGAGAAAGCGTTTGTGGAGTCCACCTGTCTCCCCTAGGGCCATAGATAACACTTCTGCCGGTTTCTGTGGAAATAATCTTGAGGAGGAGACCCCTCAATCACTCCAAGGACACTAAGTCCTGGCTTTGACTCAACTCCCCACTAAGTGCAGCTGTGTCCCACAACCCTGGTATAAAACCCCCCATTTTCTTTGTCTAGATGTAGAAGCTTGATTCCCAAGGACAGTCTCTACCTCTCACTGTATCTTTGAATAAAGGAAGATACATTCCTTGCCTGTTGCAGGTCTGCCTCTGTTCCCTTGTCTCCTACTCCTCTATCTTTCCTTTTCCAAAAATCTAATATGAGGTTTGTTCTTTCCTTCCATCATGTGGGTCCCAGCAATTGAACTTAGGTCATCAGACTTGGCTTGCAAGTACCTTTACCCACTGAGCCATGTCACCAACCACCACTTTTATTAGGCTTAGAATTGGGATCCAACATGTTGTTCCCTGCTTAGAAAAGGTAAGGACTGGAGAACACAAATATTTGGGACAAGGGAGAAAATATTTATTTGGAAAACTAGTAAATGAAAGTAGGTGGAGGCTGTGGCCAGCAAAGACCATCTTTTAAAAAAAAAACTATAATTTTTTGTTTTTTTTTTAATATGAATATTTGTATGAGTGTTTCCCCTGCATGAATGTAAGTGCACCATGTGAATGCAGTGCCCATGGAGGCCAGAGGAGTGCATCAGATCCCCTACAACTGAAAGTTACAGATGGTTGTTATCCATGGTGTGGGTGCTAAGAACTGAACCCAGGTCCCCTGGAAGGCAGCCAGTGCTCTTAACTGCTGAACTCTCTCCAGCCCCAACTAAGACCATAGGGGTTGCAAGTGTGATGCTCATATAAGGAGTGTTAGGGAGGCATGTCAGATACCTGGGCACCAAGGTAGTGATAAATTTGGGTGGTCTATTTTTCCATACCTCCTAAATCATGATTACTAAGAAGAAATCAAAGCATGTGGAGCTTGAAAGGATTTCCTTCGGTCTTCTTAGCTACAGGCCCATTGTACCTGACAGAGATTTACCTCAGTTTACTTCAGTAAATCAGAGATGTTGGTTCTAGGCTGTCCTGAGTAAGAAAAAGTAAGAAAATCCCACAAATTACCTCAACCAAGAAATAGCCAGGTTCCAAGTATTACTGGTTACCAAACTGGTGCTACTAAGCACATGAAAGAGTCAGGCTTCTCATGAGCTCAAGGAGTCTGGATTGGTGAATCTTCAGTTGGTGTGTTCTTGCTTATCTTCTCACAGTAAAGTAGGCAATTTGGCCAGTTTATATTTCCAGGAGAGAAAATCTGATTCACCTATGTCTCTTGTTTGGGAACAAGCTACAATGTCCAGCTGTTCTTTCTCTAATATAATGCCCAAATCTTAGTTAGACCTAAGGTTTTCTAGAATAAAAATTCCGTTTCTCATCATTTCTCCTCTCGCCGGTGATGGACTGAGAACCAAAGTGCTTCTTAGGAGTGCTTCTTGTGTTCTTCCCCATGCTGGCTGGACCACAGACACATCATCATTGTTCATGTGAAAAAAGCATCACCACCACCCTAGGCATGGAAAACCAACAAGATAGAAGTGTTACCAGCTAGTCCAGAGGTAGTCTACCTTGACTTTGGGGAAATCTCAATAAACCAGGTCTGTCCACACCCTAAAAACCTAGCAGAAAAAGTAATGTCAGAAGGAAGAAAAAGGAAATTTATTTTTTGTGTGGTAACACTGAGAAGGCACATTATATAAAGGCTGTCTTTGGGTGTCAATGGTAGCTGTGAGGTTATTTAGGGGAAAGAACAAAGGCAGGAATTGAGGAGGTCTGCATAGGTAGTTATCATAGGTAGTAAATTGGTCGCTCAGTATCCTGGGCTGGTGGCACTGTCTTATAGGCACCAAAAAGATTTCTGTGGCTGCTGCTAGTAGGGGTGTGTTGCTTCCATTTTCTTCACATGAGTTTTTCTTTCATACCTGTGATGCTGTTGGGAAGAAGTTAAATTTGAGGCCAACCTGAGCCACTATCAAGTTAGAAGTCAACCTGGGCAACAAAGCATGACCCTGTTTCAAAAACAAAAACTAGAGCAAAACTAAGCAAACAAACAGACTGGTGATTTTGGAATGAGGGAAAGAGCAACTCAGGACAGAGAGAGACCGAATGGAGTCGGGTTAATAATTGAATCCTCCAGAGGAACTTGAGGAAGTCCTGGCAGTTAGTTGAGAACAGAGTGAGCTTTACCACAAAGTTGTGCACTTCTGTTTCATATAAGCTACTATTACTTACTTTCTCCTACACTAATGGCCATACTCATGTCCTAATTGCTTTGTAGAATTTGATCTAATAAGCTAGAGCTGTGGAGGGAGAAGGGTCCTGTGACGGATATACAGCCTTGCCAGCTCAGACAGCAGCTACAAGGTCTGCACCCTTCCACCACAGGACATACAGGATAGGAGTTTCCTCCTGAGATGGTATATTTGAAGAGCACCCCATCACCTGTCTGAAATACCAGGGGATGTCAACCATCCCTGTCACAGAAATCCTCTTTTTTTCACACCAATCTGATGGTTAGTTCTCAGACCTCATCTCATTTTACCTATCAACAGCTGGTGAGAAATTTTGTTCTCTTGCTTCAGGAAACACTCTGGTGTGTTTCTTCTCTGACTGGCCACTCTATCTTAGTCTTATGCGTTTCTTCTCCCTTACCTCTGAGCCAATGGTTTTCAAACTTGATGATCAGACTCACCCAGAGGGCTTATGAACATGGACTGCACTCCATTCCTGTTTAAGTGCTGTGAGGTGGGACCTGAGACTCTGCATTTTTAACAGGTTCCCAAGCAGCATTGATGTTGCTTATCTGGGAATCAATTACTTAGCTTCCCCAGAACTCAACCCTTGGGCTTCTCCCTTCCTGTGAACACTCAGGTACACCCACTAGCTGGGGACCAAGTGTTCAAACATATGAAAATATGTCTCCTGCAGGTGAAGAGTGTTTGCCCTGTAACCACGAGCAAGCATCTATCCCACATCTCCAGTGGCCAAAATACTTTTGCTTTTAGAAGCTCCTGATGATTAGCTAAAATGGTGCCATCCAATATTGTAACCACCAGTCATATGTGGCCACTGAACATTGGAAATGTGGCTTAGTTATTTTTCTATCGCTATCCTGACAAAAGTAAAAGGGAGAAATGGCTTATTTTGACTCACAGTTCTAGGGTATAGTCTATCATAGTGAGGAAGCTCTGGCACCAGGACCGTGAGGCAGCTGGTGCCATCACACCCACAGTCAGGAAGCAGAAAAAGATGAATGCCTGTGTTCAGTACATGTTCTCCTTTTTATAAAGTCCAAGATCTCAACCCAGGGAATGGTGCTACCTACATTGAGTGGCTCTTCCCACACTGAGTGGGTCTTCCCACCTTAATTAACCCAATCAAGATAATTCCTCACAGACATGCCCAGAAGCTTGTCTCCCAGGTGATTCTAGATCTCTTCAAGTTGAGAGTTGTGACTAACCATACAATGGCTAATCCAAATCTGAGATGTGCTATAAATATAAAATAGCTGCCAGAAATCTTTTGTAAAAGAACATAAATTTTTAAAATTTTTATGTGTATGTGTGTATTGCCTGCATGTAGGTAAGTGCACCCGAGTCGTGCAATGCTCACGGAGGTCAGAAGAGGCTGTCAGATCCCCTGGGACTGGAGTTATGGACAGTTGTTAGCTGCCATGTGGGTACTGGGTTTTGAACCCAGGTCTTCTGCAAGAACAGCTAGTGTTCTTAAATGCTGAGCCATCTCTCCAGCCCAAAGAACATAAAATATTTTATGTTGACTCCATATTGAAATATTTGGGGGGGTGAGTGCATGTGTGCGTGCATGTGTGTGTGTGTTTGCATGTGTGTGTTTGGGTGCATGTGGGGGGGGCAGAGGGCAGCTTCAGGTGCTGTTCCTCAAGTGCTATCCATCTTTTATTTAGTTGTTTTTGAGACAGGGTCTTTAACTGACCTGGAACTCTAGTAAGCTGACTAGCCAGTGAAGTGCAAGAAACTCCGCCTCTTTCTCCAGCAATGAGATTGCAAGTGCATACCGTTATGCCTGGCATTTTTAGATGGGTCCTGGGAACCTGTAAGGAGCAGGCACTAGTAAACATGTCTGGCTCTGACATGTTAATGAAGTCCAAGAGGGAGGCACCAGTCAACATGCTAATGAGTTGTAAGGAACAGGCACTAGCTCTGACTTCATGCATATGCTAATGAGCCAATCCTAAGGCCCCTGGCTCTGGTGACCTTTAAGCATTGGCACCTCAAATCCCCACAGTTGGGCACACCTGCCAGGCGTCGCTCTCAAAGAGCCTGGACCTTGGTGCCTTCCTCTGATCCAGCTTCTGGCTTGTGTGCCGCCTTTGGACTTCTCTGAAAAGACATCAAGAGGACCAGCAGCCTGAACCCCACGGACTGCCTGTGTTTTTCTCTCTGACATCGAGATGAGCCCCCCGTGGTATAATTGTAACTTGGTTTGTGCTTACTATGATTAAGGAATGTGTGATGTATGGAATGCCTATGCCGTGTGTTGGTGGTGTAATAAAGTCAGCATATACTGAAAGGCATCTTTCTGGACATTCTGTATTTCAAAGCCAATAGCCTACAGGCTGCCCTCCCCTTACTGCTCTCTACAGGACCAAACTCAAGTCTCATAATGGCAAGGCCAGCAATTTACCTACTGATCTAGCTCCATGATCATGAAATAAAATTTCCAATTTTGTTTCACTTTTGAAAAATATGTCTAGCATTACATTCCTATTGGACAGCATTGGCCTACCTGGGGCATGGAGCTTAGGTATCTCCAAACTGATCAGCTATTTCATGCTTCTGTAGTAAAAAGGTGCTGCCATTTTCCAGAGCTGTATCCTTATGCTTTATCTGTGTCCCAGTGCATTCAGCTCCTGTAAATATATTCAGGTTCACATTCTCCCTGTGCTCCCGATTACCCCAAGTTAATCAGTGCACCTGAACTTCAACCTCACTACCACAGGGGTCCTCTTTCAATCGTGGAAACCACTTATGAACTTGGTATCTATTGCAGTAATTCTTTAATTTTTGAGTCTTGATTTGGGCTTTTTGTTAAAAATGAATATACTGATGTTGTCTAACGATTTGGTAGCCTTGCTCCCCAGATCCTTCTTGAGCGTGGTGAACTTATTGTGTAAGACTCGCAGGAGTTTACTCTTAGAGGCACAGGCCTAGGGAAATGAGGGAATGGGAGTGGCTGAGCTCAGAAGCTGTCAAACACGCCTGACACCCCAGATCAGTTTCCAAGATCGATGACCCCAACAGTCTGTTCCAGGCTGGGAGACCTAGGTTTCCTCCATCTACCATATTTTCCTGCTGTAGTTTATCTCAAAAGCATATTACATTACCCAAAGCTTGATCCCCAGCTTGGTGTTATTAGGAGGGGAATGAAATTTAAAAGGTGGTATCTAGTGGGAAGTGTTCAGGTCATCTGAAGTATGTCCTCTTCCTCTTGTGTGAAGCCAGTCTCTTCTTTCTCTTTCATGTCCCAGCCATGAGGTGAGCGGCTTTGCTCCACTGGATGCTCTTGTCATGATGTGCTTTGCTGTCTCCTACAGATCCAAAGTGGTGGAGCCAACCAATCATGAACTCCAAATCTGTGAGTCAAAATAACTCTTTCCACTTTGCTGTTTCAAACATTTGTTACAGTGACAGAGAGCTAACAGGTTTCTTCATCCCAAGACTCTGTAGTCTTGCCTCACCAAGTACTTCTGTTCATTTATGTAATGACTGTTGAATTCTTGAAATTTAGTTAGGGCTTGTCTGACACCAGAGATATTATTTCTTTGAAACCATTTTAGATTTTGGACTCCAACCCTACAAATGCTACTCAGTCTTGTTTTACATATATTTATATATAAAGAATGCTAACATATTTCTGATTCTAAAATCTGATTCTACTAATGGCCAGTAAGGCAAAGCTAAACCTCAAATTTTTAAGACCTCTACCACTGCATGCCATATTGTGAGGTAACAGTTAAAAGGCAAAACAGCCATTTCCTTAGCCCTTAGCAAGAGACAAAGCAGTAGTCCACATTTTAGAAAATGTTCTGCAGGTCACCAACTTTACAAAGGGCACAAAGGACTCCTGGATTGCCATCCTCGGTGTTTCAGTCATCACTTTACTCAAAGTCCACTAGAATTTTGGATTTGCTTCAATCTCATCTTACTGAAAACATCAGGATGTTTTAGGGAAATATAGTATTTGGCATTTAGTTTATTTTGAACAAGGCAGTAAATTACAGATTCAGAATTCTCAGAGACAGTCAATAGGCAAGTTGGTTAGTAGTCACCTTTATTTTTTACTGGACATCACAAAACAGCAGCTATTATTTACACACATAGATTCTGTGACATTTTTCTTCAAGCTGCTTCAAAAATTCATACATGAAAAGTATTCCCTGCCACTTATCTGCTTCAAGACAGACAAAATGAATTATGTTAGTAGGGTAGGAGGGGACCATTTGGCAGTTCGGTTTCCTGACTCTCACCTCTGGGAGAAACCATGTTGATCCACTGACTTATGTGTCATTTAATTCCGCAAGTCCTTTTCCAGGCTTTACCTTAAGCAAACAGAAAAGGAATAGTCTCCTGAAGTCAAGGTTCCTTAGTACCTGACCTTTAATAATAAATATTATAGGGCTGGACTTAAATATTACAATATTATTTTAATAATAAAATACAGGGCTGGACCTAGGAAATAGATGAATTTGAGTAGTCAGAATCTAAAGTTTGGTGATGAGGACTGCATTAAGGCAGATTTTAACTATTCAGAGACATTTCATTCAATAGGGAGCTAGGTCAGGTCTGGAATAAGGCAATGATGTGCAGAAAGGGGTCATGTAGAAAGGCTGAGCTTAGTTATGTGGAAAAGGTAACTGATATCAGCTTCTGGTATCATCCAAATATTGGGGTGCCTGTTTGTGTTCTTAGCCTTCAGGTATGTTCTCTGACTCAATTAGAAGTGAGCAGAATGGTGCTTCAGTGACAAAAATATGCTCTAGCTTTCTCTTGTTCATGCTGATATTGGAGGCCCAAATGATGAGGATGGAATGAGACAGACTAACTCACATCAGACTGGATGTGAGACACAGGTCTTTGTTTCTTTGGAAGGTTTGCTACTGTACCACAGCTTAGCATATACCTCTTGAACAATGAAGAGGGAAACTCTGGAACTGGGAAATACTACTGCTGTTATGGGAAGCTGGGATATTAAAAGTACAGGCTGGACTGTGAAAACTCAGAGAAAGGAGGTGGACCCAAGAAGGTTTTGAATGGAAAGACCTTGGTGTTCATTTAGATAAACATCTATTGAGCACCTACTATTTCCAAGGCACTGTACAAGATACACCTATTATGTCGTACCTCCAAGTGCTTGCAATCTAGTGTAGAAGATAATATATATGTATATGTACATATATATAAATAAATTATAAGACAAAAGTTAAGAGCATAATGCTACAGTGAAAACGCTGAAGGCATACCCATACTCAAGACCTGGCTTCATCTTGTGTCACCTAGGGCACATTACTTAATCTCTCTAAACTTCAGTGTGCTCATCTGTGAAATTCAGACATCAAAGGACCTATTCACAGAGTTGGCAAGACAGATTGTTCCTTGTAAACTTCTTAGCTGAGTGTTTACCCCATGATAAGTGCTCAGTAAGTACTATCACTACTACTAGTATTAAGAGAGTCAAAAGCTAGGGCATAAGAGAACAAGGGTCATGTCCCAAAAAGTTCCATGAGAGGATTAACAGCTCTAAATCTTCTCTAGAGAAATAGTGCCACTTCAGTATAATTGTGCCATTCCCCTCCTGTAATAGCCTGCATTTACTTAAAGTGCAATGATAATGGGTCTAGATTCTGACAGGTATGTTGGAGGATCCCCCCTTAACATGTAGTCTGACAATCTCCCTCCGAAAAACCTCCTTCTTTTTGAGGGAGGGGATTGAACTTCAGGTCCTCATGTATGCTAGGAAAGTACTCTACCACCGAGCTATACCCAGCCACTGCCCCAAAGTCTGAATGTAGAGTCATATCTTAATTTCCACGTTCCACATCAGTTCTGTATCTGCTCAGAGACTGTGGAGCAGAGGTGGAGCAGAAGGGCAGTAGCCAACGCAGCCAGAATGAGCAAATGCTTGGTTCATTGACAACAGGGAGACCTATCAACTTTGTAGGAAGGCCCTTTGTCTGGCTCAAGCTTCTACCTGCTCAGTCTATCCCCTGTTTGGCATAACGCCGCTGATGTTGAATAACTGAGGACTTGGAGCTGAACTCTTTCCCACACACACTGCACTCAAAGGGCTTCTCCCCGGTATGAACTCTCTGATGCCGTGTGAGCCGGCATCTCTGGCTGAAGGCTTTCCCACACTCACTGCACTCATATGGCTTGTCTCCAGTGTGTATCTTCTGGTGCTGTGTGAGAGAAGAGCGATCAAAGAAAGCTTTGCCACACTCATTACACTGATAGCGTGGCTCTCCAGCATGAGCTTTTTGGTGTCTGTTCAGGGAAGAGACTCCATAGAAGGCTTTCCCACACTCGCTGCATTCATAGGGCTTTCTGCCAGTGTGGATCAGTTGATGTCGAGTGAGGATGCTCTTCTGGGTAAAGGCTTTTCCACACTGCTGACATTCATAGGGACTCTCTCCAGTGTGAATTCTCCGGTGGCGAGTTAGGGATGACCGATCAAAGAAGGCTTTGCCACACTCGCTGCATTTAAAGGGCTTCTCTCCCGTGTGAATCCGCTGATGCACTGTTAGGGATGACCGGTCAAAGAAGGCTTTGCCACACGCACTGCACTCATATGGGCTCTCACCTGTGTGGGACATCAGATGTCTGCTGAGACTGCTTCGGTGGCTGAAGGCCTTCCCACACTCAGGACAGTCATAGGGCTTCTCTCCAGTGTGAGACCTCAGGTGACGAATGAGTGATGAGTGGTCAAAGAAGGTCTTCCCACAGTCACTACATTCCTGGTCTCGGTGTTTAGTAATGATTTTCTTAGGTGGAGCTGACCCCTGCTGTAAGCTTTTGTCCAGAGAAAGGGGTTTCTTGCAAGTCTCCACTGTGGATCTTTCCTTCTCTGGTTCCAACCCACCCTCTGGTGTTTGAACTTCAAATTTAGGGCACAGAGGATTTTGCCTTCCCAGGCTTTCCCTTGATGCTCCTTCAGGTTTTTCTCCTTCTGAAGCATCTGGGATCTCAGGCTTAGTCTCCCAATCTGGAACAAAAAGAAAACACAGATGCAGTTTCTTCCCTGTGCCAGAAGACATGACAGTGGAAAGAAGAGATGCTATGACAGATGTGTAGGTAATGCCCAGTCATAGCACTGCTTGCTCCAGAACGGTCTCAGGCTATGAGAACGCTTTGGGCTTGGGAATGAAGCAGGAGGTAGGGAAGAGATCTGACAGTGGCCGTCCCAGAATACAGGAGAATGACCCCAGGAGCAAGGCCAAGATAATTAGAAAGGTAGGCTGAGTGGAAAGTTGAGAGACCCATAGGGATATCAAAGTGTGAACAGGCAAGGTGACAGACCTGAGAAAACAGCTGGCAAATACAGATAAGTAATACTTTAAGGAGAAGGGGGAAAAAGAGAACTGATGGGTGATATAAAATAAACATGCAAGCAGACAACTTGAATTTGAGATAAAGGTAATTCCCAATATTCCTCCCACACTCAAACAGAAACAAAACAGAGCTCTGCCCTCCTGGTCACACTCAGTTACCTAGAGAATCACTCTCTGGCTTCTCTCTCTCCTCGGATCCTTGAAAACCCTCTATCCATGGCTCGTCCCCTCTCTTCAACTGAAAAATCACATCATGTTGAGGAACCGGAAGTCCTGCTCATGAAAAACAAGCCAGGTGGTGATAAGTGATGCAAATGCCTATTCCAAAACTTAATCCCTGGCTTCCTAAGTCTAGTTTTCTAGAATGCATAGGCTAGGAATATAGAGCACAACATAAAGGAACCTCTAGGGGAAGGTCAGGACTAAGGTTCTGGGAAGGAAAAAAAGGCACTAGGTCAGTGCCCACAAATGCCACTTGAACTCAACAGCAGTGAAGGGAAACTTTCCACTTGGGCCCCTGGCAGGATGAAGGTTTTTGCCTTAGCAGCAGTGTATGAAAAAAGATCATTTTGACTCTAAAAGCACAAGGAACGCTCTCATTTTTGAGATCTGACTCTGGCAAGTTGTCCTCTTACCTACACACACACTTAGCAGCAGTGTATGAAAAAAGATCATTTTGACTCTAAAAGCACAAGGAACACTCTCATTTTTGAGAGCAAAATGAGAGATCTGACTCTGGCAAGTTGTCCTCTTACCTACACACACACACACAGACACACAGACACACAGATACACACACACATTGCAGAGTGTGCATGCCCACCCACACACAAGATACATTAAAGATATATTTTAATGGTTATATGATAGTATATTTTATGGATAAAATAACAAATCCCTGCTGATAGACATTTTAGACTGTTTTTAATGATTTACTATTAACATATAATAGGATGGTAAACAACTCCCTGCGTGCTGCATGGGCTTCTAATCTTATTATAGTCTTAGAAGCAATCTTATCCATAGTCTTATAAACAAAATCACTACCCCCTTGACCCTTACTGGAAGTAGGCTTGAGCAATAAGCTTCCCTTACATGGGGTCCTACCTTGGGAAAGAGGTGCTTTCTTCCTGGGCCCAAGGAACATCTGTTTGTGTGTGCTGATTCTCTTATGATAGAATGGTTTCACCCATCCCTTCCCTGTGGCTTCCGGTCTCTGGCCTTACTAATTCCATATTGTCCAATATTTCAACCTTCCAGACGTGTGATGAAGGCTCACAAGCTCAGGGTCCCCCTTAATGCCTCCAGAACATTCTGTTTTGTTTGAGATATTACTTGGCCTGTTTAAGTTAATCCAGGTTTTCTCTTTCTTTCCCTTCCTCCCTCTGTATGTATGTATGTATGTATGTATGTATGTATGTATGTATTAAACCCAGGGTCTTGCAAATGTTAGGTGTATTGGATAGCATCAGTTGCCAACTTGACATACTTGGGAAGAAGGAAACTCAACTGTGGAAATGTCTCTATGGAATGGCTTGTGGGCATGTCTATGAGGTATTTTCTTGATTTGTTGAGTGATGTGGGAGAGCCATCTCACTGTGAGTGGTGCCACTGTTGGGCAGGTGGGTCCTGGGTGGTATAAGAAAGCAGTCTAAGCACAGGCCAGAGAAGCAAGCCAGTAAGCAACATTCCTCCATGGTCTCAGGCTTCAGATTCTGCCACCAGGTTCCGGCTTGAGTTCCTGCCCTGGTTTCCTCAATGAAGGACTGTACTGTAAGCTGAAATAAACCCTTTCCTCCCCAAGTTGCTTTTGATTATGATGTTTAGAAAGTAAACTATGACAAACATTGGTACCAGAGAGTGGGCTAGTGCTGTGACAGACCTGATGATGTGTTTTAGGAAGTGTCTGGAGCTGTGGGCTGGAAGAGCCATTGAGTACTTAGAACTTAATGAGCTGTTCTGTGGGAGCTTGGAAGATAAGACTGTTGAGAGAGGTTAAGATGATGGAGGCCTGGCTTGTGAAGTTTCAAAGGGAAGTTTGAAAGTCCATCAGAGATGCTAACAGGGTCATTTGTGAAATATTTTGAATTGAGAATCTGTGGTTTTGGGTCAGCTGGGGCTGAAGAATCAGCTGTGATTTACAAGAGACAAGAACCCTGAAGTGAAATCATGGCTTTATGGAGACAATTGCTGCTGAGTAGCTGAGGTGAAAAATCAAAGGGGATTAATACCAGGCCAGCATCACTGCAGTGAAATCTTCTGGGAAGTATTTCCTCAGATCAGCACACAGAAGGTATGGTGCAGAGAGAAACTGAGGCTCCATCTCAAGATGAAAGCAGGACTTAGTAATGTTTAAGAGTCACCTACACAATGTAGATTTTGAAGGCATGAAGGGGTCATGGAGAACAGCTGAGGCTTGTCACTGTGAGAGGCCATGAGAAACCATTGGTGAAGGTACAGTCTCAGTTGTAGTGGAGACCCCAGCACACTGGAGATGCCAGGATCATGGGATGATCACCAAGGGCAGTGGCAGGCATGGAGTGGAGCCAGACTGACCCTAAAGACAAGGTGTGTGTGCTGTGGATGGCAGAGCCAGAGAAGTGGAGCTGCCCAAGTCCTCTGGAACCCAGTTTGAATGAATCCCAGATGTCAGATATTGAGCTACATTGTTGGACTTTGGTTTTGCTTAAGTGTGCCCATTTCTTCCTTTTGAAATAAGGAAATATGTAAGTTACATATTTGTTTTACAAAAGCCCATGGCTGAGAGACTTTAGATTTAAAGAAACATTAGCTTTTTTAAGTATTTGAATTTTTAAGGACTGTAAGGCTTTTTAAAAAAATATTTTTTTGTTATTTTTATTTTATGTGTATGAGTGCGTTGCTTGCATGTATGTAAGTGCACCTGTGTCATGCAATGCTCACGGAGGTCAGAAGAGGGTATCAGATCCCCTGGAACTTGAGTTTCAGACAGTTCTTAACTGCCATGTGGATTCCGACAATCAAATCCAGGTCCTCTGCAAAAGCAGTCAGTGCTCTTAACTGCTGAGCCATCTCTCCAGCCCCAGGACTGTAGGGCTTTTAAAGTTGCACTATGGTTTCTATTGTGATATTAACATGAGCTCTTGGGGACAAGAAATGGATAAGCCATGGTTTAATAGTGATGTGTTTGTGTATCAAGTTGACAGGGATCAATTGTGTTGAATAGCTTCAGTTGTCAACTTGACACATATAGGAAGAGGGAAACTCAACTGGTCAATTTCCTCTATGGATTGGCATGTGGGCATGTCTGTGAGGCATTTTCTTGGTTGCTGAATGATGTGGGAGGGCCTGTCCCACTGTGGGTGGTGCCACCACTAGGTGGGTGGTCTTGGGTTGTGTAAGAAAGCACAGGCCAGAGGCACAAGCCAGTCAACAGCAGTCTTCCATGGCCTCTGCTTCATTTTTTGCCACCAGGCTCCTGCTCGAGCTCCTGCCCTGGCTTCCCTTGATGAAGGACTGTACTGTAAGCTGAAACAAACCCTTTCCTTCCCTAGTTGCTTCTGGTCACAGTGTTTATCACAGCAATGGAAACAAACCAGAACACCAGGCAAGTGCTGCACCACCGAGCTACGTCCTTGCTTTTCGGTAGAACATCTGCAATGTGACTTACTGCTATCTGCTGCTTCAGCATCTGTGTACTCCCTGCCTTCAGAGTCACCAGGACTACAGGAACACACTGCTGTGCTTGGCTTCAGCCTCTTATTCTGGAAGCTGTGAGTGCTCCTTATTACCTACAGGGACCTCACTTTACTCTTCACTAATATATGACATCAACAATAGCTTTTAATTTCCACTTTGTCGCCTAAGTCTATAACTGCAAAGTGCCTTCTATAGGTATTTAAGACTGCCATTAAGACAAATACTCAGAAATCAAATACATCTCTGATGGCCACTCTCCGTTTAACAGGGGTAAGTCTTTGTCCTCCTCTGGCTCCCATGAAGGGAAATCTTCTCTCACTGACACCGCTTCTTGCCTACGGGCATTATCTACTGGCATGAAGGGAGAAGACCTGGGGCACATAAACTCTTTTGCTGCTACCTCTGAAGAGCCAGCTCCCCATGTCAAGGACATACTCTGCTCTAACTTCCAGACACTTCCATTTCGTAGAAGTAAGGTGCTGAACAAGGAGGTCTATGGTTTCCCAGCACTGTTGACATCTGGAGGAACCCACGTGTCTAGTGCTGGGGTTCTTTATTAAGCCCACTCTTGCTGTCCACCTAAGCGACCTCTTTGGCTCTTTTATTTTGTCCTTCAGATAGCTCTGAACTTGAGTTGGGGGAGAAGAGGTAGCAATTTCTCAGCCTCTCAGTCACGCACCAGCATAGGAAAGGTTCTGACTTCTCATGGGAAGCCCTCTTACCCAATGATACAATGCTCTCATAATTCTCCAGCATCACCACCTTGTAGAGGGCCCTCTGAACAGGGACCAGATGCCTCCACTCTTCATCTGTGAAAGTCACGGCCACGTCTTCAAATGTCAACGATGCCTGAAAACACAATCACACTCTCCCTTACAACTCCCTTTTTGTTTCTGTTGTTTTTCATTTGTTTCTTTCCTTTCCTTGAGGCAGGGTCTCATGTGGTACATGCTGAGTGCTCTACAGCATGTACCGCACGCTACAGCCTAACCCAATACTCTGAAACACGGGGCTGACTCTCAGCACATAAATAGTTCACCAAAGGGATAGTCAGGACAGAACAAGCTTAGTGACCCCAGAATCTTCCAGATAGACCTTTTTTTTATCAGCTTATGGACAAAATCACACAGAGCAAAAGCTGTGGGCATTTTATGTTTGTTGGTAGGCTAGTAGGCACAGGCTCAAGGAAAGAGAGGGTCACTGCAGGTCATCTCCCTTTGGAGCTGTTCATCTGCCTCAGGGTGGAGTGTTATGATGGAAGAAGCTCCAGATAAAGAAAAAAAAAGCAATTACACTTTGGCAACTAATAATAGCATTTCAGGAACATGAAAGTTCATCTTACCTGGCATCCGGTAGGAGGACACATAGCAGCCATCCCCTTCTGTGCTCTCCTGATAGGAAAGGGCAGAGTCCTAGTAAGGAAAGGGTGTGGATGGAAAGAAGGTGTAAGAAAGACCACTCCTGGTTTACAGTCTTCTGACCTGTGAAGCAAGGCCCTTCCATATACCAGTGAGTAATGTAGGCACCTTCATTCCCAACACCCTACAAAGGGCAGACAAAAAACGGCCAGGAGCATCCAAGCTCATCCCAGAGTTAGAGCCAAAGGTCATGGATGTTAGATTCACAACTCCATGCCTTTGTTACCATCATCTTCAGGGCAGAGTTCTATTTCCAGGAGTTGGAACACAGTAAGATACATACAGTATTATTCAGGCTGGAAAGGTGGTTCAGCACTTAAGAACACTGGCTGCTCTTGCAGAAGACCTGGGTTTGGTTCCTAGCATCTAACAACCATCCATTAACTCCAGTTCCAGGGACTATGCTGTCCTCTTCAGGCTTCTGTGAGCACTGTACAACATGGGTGTACTTACATACATGCAGCTAAAACACTCATACACATAAAATAAAAACAAATATTATAAAAAGATTCATATGGTTTTTATATATTCATTCAATACTGCCCTGAATTATTTCTTGATCTTACCCTTTTGGCTAAGATCAAGTGCAATACTGTCCTGAATGTTTGAGGCACAACTGTAAGGAATTTTGCAAACGACTATATGGACAAGACATGTCAAATAAAACCTGTAGCCTCTTCAGGGAGAAAACATCCCATTCCCAGCTCCTGCTAAAGAAGCACTCCACCTTTGGTCCTGTAAGAGTCTGCATCTCACTTCTGGAACCACACTGATTATGTCACAGCTGGGCAAGATGTAAGTAACCAACAGACTGAGATGAGAAGGGTATGAAAAAATGGCATCATTTGTAAACATGAATGAAGACATGTCGGGACATGTGGGTGATGACCTGAAAAGATATTAGGGTGTACTGAAGTAGTCACAAGGATCAGGGAGCCAATTACCAGCAAGCAGAACCAATGGATGTGGGTCACACTGGTGGAGCTCACAGGTGGTTCTAGGTGAGGGAAGGGGCATGAGCGCCTTTCCATGCATATCAGCCCTACATCTCCTAGGGTTTCCATAAGACTCTCACCATCTGAGACCTCCCTTTACTTGAGTTAGCTAAATACACCTCACTTTATCACAAGAGTTTAATTAAAGACTGGTAAGTGTGGTGATGCATGCTCGTAATTCCAGTACCTAAGAGGCTGAGGCAGGAGGACTGTTGTAAGTCAAGGCCAGCTAGGACTGCACAATGAGTTCAAGGCCAGACTGAGCTATACTTTCCTCCTAAAAAGGAGTCTAATGAAAGTAACAGCTAAAGCAAACATTTCAGGGACTCCTGATGTGTTCCTGGGGAAGGATGAGGAAACCTGTTTGTGGCTCACTAACCACTTTTCTGCAAAGGAATGTGTCACTGCTCTTTATGACTCATTCATCTGCCTACTGAGCCAGCATTTATTTAGCATCAGCTATTTAGAAGACAAAACTTGCAAGATGCTATCCTTGTGTTCAGGAAGCAAATAGCTTTATACAGACAAGTAAACAAAGTAATGATGTACTATAGGATGGTAAGCACTGTAAAGACAGGCAGGGCAAACTGTCAGAGCCCCCTCAGAAGCTCTGCTGGCCCATGCAGGAAGGAGGAGGGAGGAACATTGCAGCTTTCTTGGCAGAACTGGGGTCTACGGTTTTGATGTGAGGGAGGAGAACATTCCAGGTAGGAAAAAATCTGAGGGTTTTTTTTTTTTTTCAATAAGGAGGTAGGTCTTTCTAGTGTAAACAGTAACTACAGAAATTAGTTTAGAAAGGCAAAACACTAAGTCATGTACAGTGCAAGAGAAAAGACCCAGCTGGAGAGGCCAGCAGAGGTCAACTACGTCAAGCGGAACTTTGTAAGAGCCTCTTTACCATAGACAACGAATCATGGGGGGGGGG